ACACCTATCCTTCTCTCTGACCACACTACTATCCTTCTCTCTGACCACACTACTACCCTTCTCTCTGACCACACTACTACCCTTCTCTCTGACCACACACCTATCCTTCTCTCTGACCACACACCTACCCTTCTCTCTGACCACACACCTATCCTTCTCTCTGACCACACACCTATCCTTCTCTCTGACCACACTACTATCCTTCTCTCTGACCACACACCTACCCTTCTCCCTGACCACACACCTACCCTTCTCTCTGACCACACACCTATCCTTCTCTCTGACCACACACCTATCCTTCTCTCTGACCACACTACTACCCTTCTCTCTGACCACACTACTACCCTTCTCTCTGACCACACTACTATCCTTCTCTCTGACCACACTACTACCCTTCTCTCTGACCACACTACTATCCTTCTCTCTGACCACACACCTACCCTTCTCCTGACCACACACCTACCCTTCTCTCTGACCACACACCTATCCTTCTCTCTGACCACACACCTATCCTTCTCTCTGACCACACACCTATCCTTCTCTCTGACCACACTACTACCCTTCTCTCTGACCACACTACTATCCTTCTCTCTGACCACACACCTATCCTTCTCCCTGACCACACTACTACCCTTCTCTCTGACCACACTACTACCCTTCTCTCTGACCACACTACTACCCTTCTCTCTGACCACACTACTACCCTTCTCTCTGACCACACACCTACCCTTCTCTCTGACCACACTACTATCCTTCTCTCTGACCACACTACTACCCTTCTCTCTGACCACACTACTACCCTTCTCCCTGACCACACACCTACACTTCTCTCTGACCACACTACTACCCTTCTCCCTGACCACACACCTATCCTTCTCTCTGACCACACACCTACCCTTCTCTCTGACCACACTACTACCCTTCTCCCTGACCACACACCTACCCTTCTCTCTGACCACACACCTACCCTTCTCCCTGACTACACTACTATCCTTCTCTCTGACCACACACCTATCCTTCTCTCTGACCACACTACTACCCTTCTCTCTGACCACACTACTACCCTTCTCTCTGACCACACACCTAGCCTTCTCCCTGACCACACTACTATCCTTCTCTCTGACCACACACCTATCCTTCTCTCTGACCACACTACTACCCTTCTCTCTGACCACACTACTACCCTTCTCTCTGACCACACACCTACCCTTCTCTCTGACCACACACCTACCCTTCTCTCTGACCACACACCTACCCTTCTCTCTGACCACACACCTACCCTTCTCTCTGACCACACACCTACCCTTCTCTCTGACCACACTACTACCCTTCTCTCTGACCACACACCTACCCTTCTCTCTGACCACACACCTACCCTTCTCTCTGACCACACTACCTACCCTTCTCTCTGACCACACTACTACCCTTCTCTCTGACCACACACCTATCCTTCTCTCTGACCACACACCTACCCTTCTCTCTGACCACACTACTATCCTTCTCTCTGACCACACTACCTACCCTTCTCTCTGACCACACACCTATCCTTCTCTCTGACCACACTACTACCCTTCTCTCTGACCACACTACTATCCTTCTCTCTGACCACACTACTATCCTTCTCTCTGACCACACACCTACCCTTCTCTCTGACCACACACTATCCTTCTCTCTGACCACACTACTACCCTTCTCTCTGACCACACTACTACTACCACACACCTCTCTCTGACCACACTACTACCTTCTTCTCTCTGACCACACACCTACCCTTCTCTCTGACCACACACTACCCTACCACACTACTATCCTTCTCTCTGACCACACTACTACCCTTCTCTCTGACCACACTACTACCCTTCTCTCTGACCACACTACTACCCTTCTCTCTGACCACACACCTACCCTTCTCTCTGACCACACACCTACCCTTCTCTCTGACCACACTACTATCCTTCTCTCTGACCACACTACTACCCTTCTCTCTGACCCTAGTGACCTTACATGTAGCCCTAGTGACCTTACATGTAGCCCTAGTGACCATACAGGTATCCCTAGTGACCTTACATGTATCCCTAGTGACCATACAGGTATCCCTAGTGACCATACAGGTATCCCTAGTGACCATACAGGTATCCCTAGTGACCTTACAGGTATCCCTAGTGACCTTACATGTATCCCTAGTGACCATACAGGTATCCCTAGTGACCATACAGGTATCCCCTTACATGTGTGACCATACAGGTATCCCTAGTGACCATACAGGTATCCCTAGTGACCTTACATGTAGCCCTAGTGACCATACAGGTATCCCTAGTGACCTTACATGTAGCCCTAGTGACCATACAGGTATCCCTAGTGACCTTACATGTATCCCTAGTGACCATACAGGTATCCCTAGTGACCTTTCAGGTATCCCTAGTGACCTTACATGTAGCCCTAGTGACCATACAGGTATCCCTAGTGACCTTACATGTAGCCCTAGTGACCATACAGGTATCCCTAGTGACCTTACATGTATCCCTAGTGACCATACAGGTATCCCTAGTGACCTTACATGTATCCCTAGTGACCATACAGGTATCCCTAGTGACCTTACATGTAGCCCTAGTGACCATACAGGTATCCCTAGTGACCTACATGTAGCCCTAGTGACCATACAGGTATCCCTAGTGACCTTACATGTAGCCCTAGTGACCATACAGGGGTCTCTACCCGCCAAACACACACCGAAACTACGACGTTGGTACAACGTTCGACCAAGTTTTAACACCTCCTAACCAGTTATAACAACCAATATAGCAAGTTGTAACAGCGTTCTAATACGTCATAAACACGTTAAGCCAAAATGTAACAACTTTATTACACGTTGTAACAAGCGGAAAATAGAGACAGTTTCGGTTTGTGTTTCCAGGGTAGTGACCCTACATGTAGCCCTAGTGACCATACAGGGGTCTCTAGTGACCTTACATGTAGCTCTAGTGTCCATACAGGGGTCTCTAGTGACCTTACATGTAGCTCTAGTGACCATACAGGTATCCCTAGTGACCTTACATGTATCCCTAGTGACCATACAGGTATCCCTAGTGACCTTACATGTATCCCTAGTGACCATACAGGTATCCCTAGTGACCTTACATGTAGCCCTAGTGACCATACAGGTATCCCTAGTGACCTTACATGTAGCCCTAGTGACCATACAGGGGTCTCTAGTGACCTTACATGTAGCCTAGTGACCATACAGGGGTCTCTAGTGACCTTACATGTAGCCCTAGTGACCATACAGGGGTCTCTAGTGACCTTACATGTAGCTCTAGTGACCATACAGGGGTCTCTAGTGACCTTACATGTAGCTCTAGTGACCATACAGGTATCCCTAGTGACCTTACATGTATCCCTAGTGACCATACAGGTATCCCTAGTGACCTACATGTATCCCTAGTGACCATACAGGTATCCCTAGTGACCTTACATGTAGCCCTAGTGACCATACAGGTATCCCTAGTGACCTTACATGTAGCCCTAGTGACCATACAGGGGTCTCTAGTGACCTTACATGTAGCCCTAGTGACCATACAGGGGTCTCTAGTGACCTTACATGTAGCCCTAGTGACCATACAGGGGTCTCTAGTGACCTTACATGTAGCTCTAGTGACCATACAGGGGTCTCTAGTGACCTTACATGTAGCTCTAGTGACCATACAGGTATCCCTAGTGACCTTACATGTATCCCTAGTGACCATACAGGGGTCTCTAGTGACCTTACATGTCGCCCTAGTGACCATACAGGGGTCTCTAGTGACCTTACATGTAGCCCTAGTGACCATACAGGGGTCTCTAGTGACCTTACATGTAGCCCTAGTGACCATACAGGGGTCTCTAGTGACCTTACATGTAGCTCTAGTGACCATACAGGGGTCTCTAGTGACCTTACATGTAGCTCTAGTGACCATACAGGTATCCCTACCCAGCAAACACAAATCATCTACACAACGTTCGCCTATCTCTTCCCATAGGTGTGGGAATGATTTGCATTGAGAATGGTGCAGGAGAGCCTTTGAGAAACTTTTACTCAAAAAATCCAAACACAAAGGTTTAATTATAAATTGTTTTTCTACAATTATTTTCTTCCAAATGTAAAACAAATAGTTTTTACATGTTTAAATATAAAATTTATGGTGTTTTTTTGTAAAATTCATTAATAATTGTGAATGATATATATTGGCTGAGTGAAACCTTTAAAATCCATTAGTTATAATATGAACAGAAAAAAGTAGTTTTCCAAATTTTCTAAATATCGCTCTTTTTAACACAATTTGACTCCTTATGCATTCCACTAAACACTAATATCATGTTTAAATATATAATTTATGTATTATTCCCTAAGATAATTTATATAAATTATAAAAGTTGCTGGAAAGTGGTGAGAAAGAATCTGAAAACGTTTTGTTGTCTTATATTGGCGTGTTCTTATTAACTAGAGTGAGTAAGAGTGAGCGAGAGTGGGTAAGAGTGAGTAAGAGTGACTGAAGGTGAGTGAGAGTGCCAGAGAGTGTGTAAGTGTGAGTAAGAGTGACTGAGAGTGAGTAAGAGTGACAGAGTGAGTAAGAGTGAGAGTAAGGGTGACAGAATGAGTAAGAGTGAGAGTAAAGTGATTGAGAGTAAGGGTGAGTATGAGAGTAAGAGTGATTGAGAGTTAGAGTGAGAGTAAGAGTGATTGAGAGTTAGTGAGAGTAAGAGTGATTGAGAGTAAGAGTGATTGAGAGTAAGAGTGATTGAGAGTAAGAGTGATTGAGAGTAAGAGTGATTGGGAGTAAGAGTGATTGAGAGTAAGAGTGATTGGGAGTAAGAGTGATTGGGAGTAGGAGTTAGAGTGAGAGTAGGAGTAAGAATGAGAATAAGAGTGATTGAGAGTAAGAGTGAGTAAGAGTAAGAATGAGAGTAAGAGTGATTGAGAGTAAGAGTGATTGAGAGTAAGAGTGATTGAGAGTAAGAGTGATTGGGAGTAAGAGTGATTGGGAGTAAGAGTAAGAGTGAGAGTAAGAGTAAGAATGAGAATAAGAGTGATTGAGAGTAAGAGTGATTGGGAGTAAGAGTAAGAATGAGAGTAGGAGTGATTGAGAGTAGGAGTGATTGGGAGTAGGAGTGATTGGGAGTAAGAGTGATTGAGAGTAAGAGTAATTGAGAGTAAGAGTATGAGAGTAAGAGTGAGGGAGTGAGTATGAATGGGTAAGGGTGACTGAGAGTGAGTAAGAATAACAGAGTAAGAGTGACAGAGAGTAAGAGTGACAGAGAGTAAGATTGACAGAGTAAGAGTGACAGAGAGTAAGAGTGACAGTAAGAGTGACAGAGTAAGAGTGACAGAGAGTAAGAGTGACAGAGAGTAAGAGTGACAGAGAGTAAGAGTGACAGAGAGTAAGAGTGACAGAGTAAGAGTGACAGAGTAAGACTGACAGAGAGTAAGAGTGACAGAGAGTAAGAGTGACAGAGAGTAAGAGTGACAGAGAGTAAGAGTGACAGAGTAAGAGTGAGTATGAGAGTGAGTAAGGATGACTGAGAGTAAGAGTGAGTATAGTGCGTAAGAGTGATTGAGAGTAAGAGTGAGTAATAGTGTGTAAGAGTGATTGAGAGTAAGAGTGAGTAATAGTGCGTAAGAGTGATTGAGAGTGAGAGTGATTATGAGAGAGTTAAGAGTGTGAGGTGTGTGAGTGTAGCAGGCCAGGGAGGCAGGATGTGTGGTCACAGGCGAGGCCTAGGCCTCGTGATCTCTAATGTTGGTTTTTATATATAGTTGGATTTTTTGTCCTGTTTCAAATTATAATTATATAGCAGGAATGTAATAAGATATTGCACAGTATTAATGTGACAATAATATATGCATTATTTCCTTGATAATCAAACTTGTTGTTCAAAGATAATATACAATCTTTGAAGGAAACATTTTGAGAGCGCGAGCTGGCAACACTGTTCTGGTGGGTGAGAGAGACATATGGTTAGTTGTGCTCAGACCTTCAGTGGTGAAGGGTGTGTCCCAGCTGGCCGCCACCAGCCGCCACCCGCCGCCACCCGCTGCCACCCACCACCAGCCGCCACCCACCACCACCCACCACCCACCACCCACCAGCCGCCACCTGCCACCACCCACCACCAGCCACCCACCACCCACCACCACCAGCCGCCACCCACCACCAGCCGCCACCCGCCGCCACCCGCCACCCACCACCACCAGCCGCCACCCACCACCAGCCGCCACCCGCCACCACCCACACCAGCCGCCACCACGCCACCACCCACCACCCACCACCAGCCGCCACCACCACCCACTGCCACCCACCACCGCCGCCACCACCACCCACTGCCACCCACCACCGCCGCCACCACCCACCACCACCTGCCGCCGCTGCCACCACCACCCACCACCACCGCCGCCACCACCCCCACCACCAGCCGCCGCCGCCACCACCACCCACCACCACCGCCGCCACCACCCACCACCGCCAGCCGCCACCACTCATCACAGACGCCACCACCCGCCACCACCCGCCACCACCGCCAGACACAGCCGCCAGTGTCCGCTACCGCCGCTACTGTCCGCCACCGCCGCCACTGTTCGCCACCGCCGCCACTGTCCGCCACTGTCCGCCACCGCCACCACTGTCTGCCACCGCCACCACTGTCCGCCCGCCGCCACCACTGTCCGCCCGCCGCCACCACTGTCCGCCCGCCGCCACCACTGTCCGCCCGCCGCCACCACTGTCCGCCCGCCGCCACCACTGTCCGCCCGCCGCCTCCACTGTCCGCCCGCCGCCGCCACTGTCCGCCCGCCGCCTCCACTGTCCGCCCCCGCCACCACTGTCCGCCCGCCGCCGCCACTGTTCGCCCGCCGCCGCCACTGTCCGCCCGCCGCCGCCACTGTCCGCCCGCCGCCGCCACTGTCCGCCCGCCGCCGCCACTGTCCGTCCGCCGCCACTGTCCACCACCGCCGCCAAAGCCGCCACGGTCCGCCCGCCGCCACTATCCGCCACAGCCGCCACTGTCCGCCCGCCGCCACTGTCCGCCCGCCGCCACTGTCCGCCCGCCGCCACTATCCGCCACCGCCGCCACTGTCCTCCCGCCGCCACTGTCCGCCCGCCGCCACTGTCCGCCCGCCGCCGCCCTGTCCGCCCGCCGCCACTGTCCGCCCGCCGCCACTATCCGCCACCACCGCCACTGTCCGCCACCGCCACCACTGTCTGCCACCGCCACCACTGTCTGCCACCGCCACCACTGTCCGCCCGCCGCCACCACTGTCCGCCACCGCCACCACTGTCTGCCACCGCCACCACTGTCCGCCCGCCGCCACCACTGTCCGCCCGCCGCCACCACTGTCCGCCCGCCGCCACCACTGTCCGCCCGCCGCCACCACTGTCCGGCTGCCGCTACCACTGTCCGCCCGCCGCCTCCACTGTCCGCCC